ATTTTCTATAAAACTTAAAAAATTGTTCTAAAATGACGTAAAATAAAAACAAAACTCTTTCAAAGAAAAAAAAAAAGGGATAACTTCAGATTTTTGACCAATTTTCAAAATATCGACAAAGATTTTAAAATAAGAATACACATTTACTACTTAATTTTATTAACTTTAAAATAAAAATAACTTCGTATGTAAATTAAATATAATAGATTTATCTTTACAATTTTTTTTTATCAGTTACAAATATCCTTTTTCCTTTTAAGGATACACTTTCTGCTTTTCGTCCCGCTAACCAACGCTCATCGATGATTAAATAACCAGTAATATTCTAAAACAAAAACTGACAACTACATTTTTTTATATAAATTAATAATTAAAAGACTTTGGTATTTGATAGCAGTACTAAACACCGGTTAATTTAATCAATCATAAGCTGTACAGATCGTGATCATCGACTCAGCAACTTCCTCAGAATATTTATGAATCAGTGGCTAAATTTTTTTAACAACTTGACTGCATTGGAAGATCCATCCTATTTGAATTTTAAGAATTCTATAAAAGAATATATTTGACACACCCCGTTTCTATGATCCCGAATTTCGGGATCAGTAAGGTTATTTTATTCGGTACTTTCATTGCAATCTGTCACAGAATCTGTACTGACATCTGTTATGATAAACCAACTGGGTACCTGCCACAGACAAAACACTTTGCTTTCCATTTCTTTTTCGCTTTCCTTGAGTAGCAAAAGATCCTTTTGGAGTTTCTTGTGTCTTTCGTTCAATTGATAGAGTTGATTACCTAAAGCTTGTTGCTGGGATATCGACTCGTTTTGCCGATATTTGAGAGTTTTGATTTCGGTTTCTCTTTCTGCAAAATAATTATTATTTATTCTCATTACTGTGAAACATAAGAACAAAAACTTACTGGTCACCATGGCCGCTAAATTAGCCATGGCGTCGCTGATGGTACTGGAAGAGCTGGAAGTTCTCATATTAGGCATACCATCCAAGCTGGATTCGTCCAAGGAAGTACTGAAAGACATGGCACTGGTGGCGCCCAACGCATCAGGGTCCGAACTCAATTCTCTTGTCATATCACCAGCTACTGATTGCAGATGTTGCTTGCCCTGAAGATGCTCACGTTTGTTGTGGAGATTGTGGAACCATTGATCGCAAGTCCGACAATACAATTCTTCATTGTCTTCTTCCTGTGAAAGGTTATTTCCTTTATTTAGCTAGTTTGCTAATATCACAATTACAAATTTAGTAAAAATATACATATACATATAAGTCAAAACATAGATAATTTAGATACAATTAAAACTAACTAAAATTCTATAGGTTGTTACTGTTTCTGGAGAAATATTTATCAATTAAGAAATCTGTCACTTTGACTTTAAATGTAGTTACAGATGTTACTGATTTAATGTTCTCCACCTCAAAGTTTCAAGCATTAGATCAATGGAAGTATATTTTGAACAGGATAATATTATTCTCATAGCCCTATTCTGCAGCTTCTGTAGTTGGTTCAACTCATTTTGATTTAGTAAAAAGAGTATTGTAGAGCAATAATTAAAGTGAGGTAGAATTATAGTATTATATATAATACATTTAGTCCACTGTGATAAGCCAAATGAACTTCTAAATAGGAAATTTAACTTAAATGAAATATTTTTTGATAACAGTGTTGGCATGATCTATGAATCTCATCTGCTTGTCAATCATTACCCCTAAGTATTTTAATTTTTCTACTAACTGTATAGAATTTCCTCCAATTGTTATGTTATATTGTTTATCAACAAACTGTTAATAGTTATAGTTGCTACTTATCAGCATACATTTTGTTTTATTTGTGTAATTTTCAACACCATTTATAAACATGTTGCAGTGTTTCATTAACAACTCTTACCAAGTTATCTGAATCCTTACAAAAAAAATATATTAGGGCATCATCAGCAAACAGGTGAATGTCACATTGACCCTTGAAATCAACAATGTCATTGATATACACTAAAAACAACAGGGGACCCAATATACTTCCCTGCGGAACACCTCTGATATAGTTAATTTCCTCTGATAAAATGTTATTTACTTTTAACTTTTGTTTCCTCTTAGATAATCCACACACCACTCCAATGCTTATTCTACTATACCCATACTTTTCAATTTTTTTTATCAAACGGTTTTGATCAACAGTCTCGAATGCCCTTTGAAGATCTATAAAAACTGCCAATGTTAAATAGTTTTTATCAAATTTATATTTCCAATCATATAAAACATACTGGATAGCTGATTTACAGTTATGTTTGCTTCTGAAGCCCGATTGTATTCTAGTAATAAGTTTATTTTGTTCTAAAAAAATTAACAATTTGTTCATAAATGACCTTCTCAATGATTTTTTCAATACAACTTAACATACTAATAGGCCTTAAATCTGTAGCTTTATTTGCATTTTGTCTTTGGAACAGGAACTACCATAGCAATATTAGTATTTTTGAAATTTCTAATGATGAATTTATTAAATTTAAAAGTGGTTCTGAGAGGTTGGGAAAACAGTTTTTTAAAATATTAATGTTAATGTCATCTGTGCTACTTTTATTTTTCATTGCAAAAAGAATGTCCCTTAAAAAATGCCAATATTTTGTCAAAAGTTATCACTGAAAGTGATTGATTCTAGTTATAGTAGTGATTAGTGACATTTAAAAAAAAATTATTTGTCATTTTTTTTTTTTGTTTGCTGAACGTGTTTTTTTTAATATAAGTACTTAATAAAATGCTATTTTTTAACTTAACCTTTTATTTTCTGTTTTACTGTATTAATATTTTTTTCTGCATATGAACTAAAAACCTTAAAAAACCTAAAAGAAAAAACAAAAAAAAATAAAAAAAAAAAAACCTAAATAACCTTAAAACCTACTTATATTTTTTATAATTCATAGGTTTTCCAACCCTGGTTTAAAGTAGCAAAACAGTAAAATAAAGATTTAAAATGTTGCCATGTGTCAGCACTTTCTGGTATATATCTCTATTATGACAATCTCACTTATACTTATGAGGTTGAAAGGCTATACCTTTATACAAACAATGCTCATACCTATGTTGAATTACAAATAAATTAAAATGTAGTAATAAAAATTAAAATATTTTCAATTTAACAAGACAAATCAAATTATAAAAATGGGTAATCTACAGATCTACAAAAAAGTATTATAATAGAAATCTTACATCAAAATCATCTGTTGCATCCATGTCACTTTCAGACATCACATTATACTGCATTCTTTTTTTCCTCTTTTTTGTCAAATAAGCCCTATAAGCATCTGATTGTCTATACTGTTTCAGTTCTTCCCTATATCTCTTTTTATCCTCTTCAGCCTTTTCTAAATAAGGTTTTTTCTCCTCCAAAGTTAAGCTCGACCATTTGTTACCGATAATTTTGGTAATCTCGTGAAACGCCAATGAACTGTCTTTGAAAAGCTTCCTTTGTTCATTGAGATACAAAGTATAACCAGTGGCGGGTGCTTTCGGGGGCAAATTCAGTAATTCTGGCTTTCTTTTTCTACCTTTTGGCCAACCACCTCTACCTTTCTTAGGCTTACTTATATCAATTGAAACTTTAATTTGATTTACAACAGGATCCACAGCCATTACAGGCTCAGTAATTGTACTGATCCCAATTTTAACGTCTACGGGTTTCTCTTCTGACAAAACTATAATATTTTCTCCTTTGGGTCTGATAATACTATTTGTTTGATTCTCATATTTAAACATATTTGCGTGAACTTCATTTAACAGAGGCGGAATCGTCTTGAAGTTTGAAAGAACCGTGGATCCCGACGTCGTAGTGCTAATGTCACTACATTCGCTGGAAAATCCATCGCTATCACAATTCAAATTGATATGGCCTATCTTTGTTGGATGAGCAACAACATTCTGTTGCGATATTAATTGAGCTGCGACGTTTCGCAAGTCATCCACGGACAGATTTAAATCTAATGATAGTGCATCGTTTAAGGACATACAAATTAAGCTAAAAATAAACGCGTTATTGAAAATAAATACGTCATTATCTACTATTTACCCTTTGCTTGTTTCTACTAGAATACCATTCCTGAGCAGATTATTGGCTTCGTCTGCTGTTTCTCCTTCTAAATTAGGGTCAGATTTTATTTTAATTTGTAAATTAGGCGATTCCATCCTCTTCGATTGTATATTTTATGCTTATTCTTTATAAATATATAATTAATCACATTTTACAAAAAAAATAGTATAACAACAAAACGAGTGTAAAAATTAAACGTCATGTGTCACTACTGTCATCTGTCACCAGTGAGATAATCTACTTTTTTATATTCAAACTTTTGATTATTGTTACTATCAGCTAAACATTATTTCCTTTTTAATTAATAAATAATTAACTAGATTTACGTTATCTACTTACTAACCAACTATTCATTTCCAAAGCATTAAGAAATTTAATTATTTACTGTTTTTATTCAAGAAATAATTGTTCGTAATTAATCGTAAAGGTAACGTTTTACAAATAAAAACGAAGAAATTATTTTTATTTTAAAAACTCTAGGGATAATGCGTAACAAATAATCTCAATTAGAGTGGGGCATATCAAATTACTGTTCAAAAATCATAAGCATTTAGTTAATGATGTATTGTTAATTTAAACGACTATTCTGATTCTGTAACAATTCCTTTATATTTGAACGGCCGTTAAAATATTGGCGGCCTTTAAAAATATTTTCGTATTCGTTAATTTACTTCTGTCATTATTTAAACAGATTTCTTTAAGATAGTCCTCTAATGTATTTTAAAGATCCGTTTAAATAATAACAGAATTAAAGAAGAAAATATTTTTAAAGCCCGTTAAAATATAAAGGAATTGTTACAGAATAGGCCCCTTCGCCAGAAATTATTATTTGTAACTTTTTTTCAATAACTATATTAATTTGATGTTAATTCTCGCCAATTCCTGAAATCACTACACTACATAAAATAGGTAAAAATGTTACCCCACTTTCCCATATGATGATTTATAAATATTAGTCAGTAGATTTGACATTGACAACAGCTTGACAAATGACAAGCTTTGGTAAACGGGAAAACGACAAAAAGAAAAAAAAAGAGTTGTGGAAATGGTCGAGTATAAATGTAAACAGAAAATTAGGAATAGATTTATCTGATTAATCTATTAATTAAAGTATTTTTTCAAGCTTTAAAATATAAATGATATAGCTAACACTACGCTATGCATATAAAGCAGGTATGTATATGTTTAATTGCCCTACTAAACATACTTTTTAAATAATAAAACTTGTTTTTAGGTTATTATTCAGGGCTTTAAGAGTTACAGAGACCAGACGGTGGTAGAGCCGTTTGATAAAAGGCATAATGTAGTTGTAGGACGTAACGGCTCTGGAAAAAGTAATTTTTTCTATGGTAAGTTTCTTGTAAAAGGAGAAAAAAGTTTAAAAACGAACACAATTTGTACCAAGGCTTCTTATTAATAAAACCAGACAAAAACAGTCTTAGAAGTCATATATAACCCTCTAAATGAAGTAGGTATGTGGTTGAACGTTTTTTTATTGCAGCTATACAATTTGTACTGAGTGATGAGTTTGCACATCTTCGACCAGAGCAAAGACAAGCTCTTTTACATGAAGGGACGGGTCCTAGAAGCATTAATGCATATGTAGAAATTATTTTTGACAATGCTGATTCAAGAGTCCCAGTAAGTATATAGATTTGCATATAGATCCATTTAAAAATACACAACAAAAAGTATTGACATTATTACTGTTTTAATAATTTTTAGATTGAACATGAAGAAATATTTTTGAGACGTGTTATCGGAGCCAAAAAAGATCAGTATTTCCTTAATAAGAAAGTGGTTCCAAGATCTGAAGTGATGAATTTATTGGAATCTGCAGGTTTTTCAAATTCTAATCCATATTACATTGTAAAACAGGGAAAGGTGAGTTTTACCAGATACATCAGTTTTAAAAATTGCTTTTAATGATTACTGCTTCCAGATCAACCAAATGGCTACTGCTCCTGATGCCCACAGATTAAAGTTGCTTCGCGAAGTAGCTGGAACCAGGGTATATGATGAAAGAAGAGACGAATCGATGGGTATTTTACGAGAAACGGAAGTAAAATGTCAAAAAATTGAAGAATTCTTACGCACCATTGAAGAACGTCTAAGTACTTTAGAAGAAGAAAAGGAAGAACTGAAACAATACCAACATTATGACAAAATACGTAGAGCTTTGGAGTACATCATTCATGAAGTTGAATTGAATGAAAACAAGAAAAAACTTACAGAGGTAAGTAACTAAAATCATTAAACTTTAATCAAATAAAATCATATTTTGCACTTAGTTGGAGAAACAAAGAAATGAATCTGGTACGGAACAAGAAAAACTTGCAGGCAACTTGAAAAAAGCACAGGACAACATAAAGACATTGACTAAAAAAACAAAGGACACCAAAAAGGAATTGACTGCTTTAAAAGAAGAAAGGGACATTTTAAACAATGACAACCAGCATCTCATCAAGGAAAAGGCTAAGCTTGATTTAACCATTAAAGATTTATCTGAAGAAGTCCTTGGTGACAATAAATCTAAGGAAAGAGCTGAAAATGAACTAGCACGTCTGAACCACTCTATAAAGGAAAAAGAAGCCGAATTAGAAAAGGTAAATAAAATTAACTAGCTATTTCTTGATACATTTTTTAATAAGATGTATAATATGCTTCTTAATTATTGTTATAGTCATTTCAAATGTATCATAATTTGTGGAGATTTCAATATTGATTTTTTAAAAGATTCAGGAGAAAAAGTTTTATTAGTTGATTTGATGGAGTGTTTTAACTTGCGTTGTTTAAATAGAGAACCAATTAGAATTTGTACTGACAAAAACGGTAAAACGTCGCGTACTAAAATTGATTATTTTCTCACAAACTACCTTTCTACATATATGGAAACTGTGGTAGACCTCTGTATTGGAGATCACCTAGCAATTGACTTGTTATTAAATTATATAAAATGTTATATAACTGATATCAATGAAAAAATACATTTTAGAGGCGAATTTACTTAATCTGCAGCAAAAAATAAGTTCTGAAAATTTTTATTCTGTGTATGAATATTTTGATAACATAAATCTTGCCTATGAAACATTCTTAAATATTCTAAATTACTATATAGAAGTAAATTGTCCGGTTGTCACAAGAGCTGTAAAGACAAATAAAAAAAAATAACTGGATAACTCCAGATATTTTGAGGATGGGAGCTGATATAAGGAATTTATTTTGGTTAGTAAAAAATTCTAATGATGTGAATATACATATTAGATACAAAGAAGCAAATAGACAATATGTCAATAATATAAATGGAGCAAAAAGAGACTTCATTTTCAAAAGGAATTGCACAATGAAACTTTTCAGCTAAAACAAAAATACATATGGAAACAGGTAAGTCACCAAGATGGTAAAACATCAAAAGGTTCTCAAATTAAACAAATTGAAGTAGGAGGACTGTCAATTATTGAACCAAAACAAATAGCTAAAGTTTTTGCAGAGCATTTTGCCACCTCCACAAAAAAAGCACTACAGTCTCATTTCAATGATTTGAATTTTAAAAATTTTACTGCGTCATGTGTCTCTCAGACCTTTTACTTCTCTTCTGTTGAGCATCGTGATGTAAATGAAGTTATTCACTCATTAAAAAATGTTAACTCTATGGACATTGACTGCATTTCCACAAAGATAATAAAACGTATTAGTCATCACATCTCTCAAATTCTAGCAGACTTAATCAATCAATCTATTCAGTTAGGTATTTTCCCAGATTATCTGAAAGTAGGATATGTAACTCCTATCTTTAAAGAAGGTGATAATAATTTAATTGATAATTATAGACCTATTACAGTGCCTACAATCTTAAGCAAAATCTTTGAAAAGTGTGTTCTTAAAAAAATGCTAATATTTCTTAAAAAATATGAAATAATATGCAAAAATCAAAATGGATTACTTCCAGAAAAATCTACTGAAAGTACTTGAAAGCAATAGATCTTTTTAATTTCATACATACTTCTATTGTTCTATTCTATTGTTTGTGGGGGCGCTTTTCTTTGATTTATCAAAGGCGTTTTATTCAATCAACTTAGATGTCGCTATTCAAAAATTGGAAGGGCTTGGTTTTAGAGGTAACTTTTTGTCTTGGTTGTCATCTTATATAAATAACAGACAGTTTTATGTCAAAATCGGAAATTGTAAGTCTGAACTAAAAAGTGTTGATATGGGTGTGCCTCAGGGATCAATTTTAGGACCTCTCATTTTTCAATACTACATAAATGATATGCCTAATATTAACTCAGAAAACATAATTTTATATGCAGATGACACAACAATTACCACCAAAGCACAATCAGTAGATGAATTAATTAGTAAATTAAATGTTTTATCTAATGAGTTTACATCATGGTGTTATAGAAATTCTTTAATTGTTAATTCAAACAAAACCGTTTGCTTTCAGTTCTACTCCAGAAATCAAATTACCCAGAATTGTAAAATAAATGTCAATAATGCAGAAATTATGCTCTCAGATGTTACAAAATTTTTGGGCATACATTTTGATATCAATATGGGTTGGGATAGCCAAATATCTAATGTTTGTAAAAAAATCAAACAGCGCATACTATGCAATACTAAAATTAAAATCAATATTTACCCAAGAGCAACTGCTTAATGTCTACTATGCTTTAGCATATTCTCATATATCATACAACATTATTCTTTGGGGTGATGCAGTCAATGCATCTAAAGTATTTATCTTACAAAAAAGAATAATCTGGCTTATTTTTAATCTAGAATTAATGCAAACTTGTAAATATAACTTCAAAAAATTTAAAATATTATCATTTCCTTGTATTTACATTTATAAAACGTTGCTATATGCTAAACGCAACATACACCAATTTTTACAAAATTTAAATTACCATGAATACTCAACTAGGAATGCAAATTTATTCAGAACACCAAGACATTCAACAGCATTATTTGAAAAATCGCCTGAATTTGTTGGATATAAATTTTTTAATCAACTCCCTGATTTCATTAAATCTGAAAAGAAATATGAACCTTTTAAAAGAAAACTTAAAAACTATTTAGTAATTCATGTTTTTATAATTTATCTGAATACCACATATTTTAAGGTAAATGTTTTTTCTAATTATATATTTTTAATGTGCATGTCTTAGATATATATTTTTTTGTATACTGTACCTATATTTATTTGTATTTTAATATTTTTTATTCATTTATCCTATATCATGTAACATGATCCTAAAGGACAAATAAACTATTATTATTATTATTATTCTTTGTGAAACACAATACACTAAATGTATACTATTGTACATCTTTAGGTACATGTAAATGACTTATCCTATATCATGTATATGATCTAAAAGGATTAATGCATAATTTTTTTTTAATTTGGTGTCATCGGCATCAACTACTAAGGTTATTAGCCTCGTATTCTGTGTAGGCTTTGTTACTGTTTCCCAGCGTCACTTTAGGAACAGCACTGTTAATTAGAACTCAACAGTGAATGGTCGAGTGGGGAATCCTACCAAAGCATCAGAATTAATTTTAAATAATTAAATAAAATAAAAAAATCCCGGCCAACGGTGGGATTCGAACCTGGGACCATTAGATCCGCAGGCAGAGACTCTACCACTGAGCCACCCACCCCCTAATACAGTATTATTATTATTATTATTATTATTATTATTTAGGTCAAACCCCAATATGATACGATGAAAAAACGAGAAGAAGAATGCACTAGAGAGCTGGCGCTCAAAGAACAAAAGAGAAAAGAATTGTACGCCAAGCAGGGTAGAGGCAGTCAGTTTACCTCGAAGGACGACAGAGATAGATGGATTGAAAACGAATTAAGGTCTCTGAACAAGCAGCTCAAAGACAAGAAAGATCATCGTGATAAATTGGAGGCCGATTTGAAGCGGGACGCTCAAAAGACCGTAGAGTTGACGAAGAAGATCGAAGAGCAATCGCAGGAGTTGGAGAGGCAGAAGAATTTTATCGATGAACATAATAAGCAGTGTTACGAGTTGAAGAAAAATAAGGATCAGTTTCAAGCCACGAGAAAGTAAGTTTTTTTTTTTTTTTTTTTGTAAAAAAACTATCCATAGTTATTCCGACGGGTGTAAAGTTATCCACATCCACAAATGTACACTAAGAAAAATATAGCTCTATCATAATAGTCATATAACTTGGTTCAAATGACATGTAGAGGCGTTTTTTTGAGAAAATTACTGGAAGCGGTTTTTTTTAGAAGATTATTTTTGCGTAACTTCATTTTTAGAGCAAGTTCTAAGTAAATATTGGGAACATTGCAGAAAGCGATTTTTTGCCGCTTCCGTTTTTCTTTAGTGAATTCATTTTCCGAATAATTTCTAAGTGGTTTTTGGGAAAATTACTCGAAGCGGTTTTTTTTTGTCGCGCTGTTTTTTACTAAAATTATCCATTTGTCATAAATACAATCTCAACAATTTCTAAGTGGGTATTGGGAAAATTACATAAGACGATTATTTTCAAAACATCAATTATTTTCCTAAATTCATTGCCTGAGAAATTTCTATATTGTTCTTAGAAAAATTACTCTAATCGGTTTTTAGCCGCACGGATTTTTTGTCGCGTGGTTTTTTTGCCGCGCGTTTTTTAAAGTATCTATTTTTGCGTAAATATACGGTTTTTTGTAGCTTCCTGTTTTTCTTTACTAAATGTATTTCCTTTATAATTTCTAAAAGGTTTTTGGGAAAATTACTGGAAGCGATTATTTGCGTAAATACAATATCAAAGTAAGTGCTAAGTGGATAAAACAATTATTATATGCGTAAATTCATCGTCTAAGTAATTTTTAAGTTTCTAAGTGGTTTTTAGGAAAATTAACTGAAGCGGTTCTTTTATCGTGCGTTTTTTACAAAATTATCTGTTTCTGCTACCTTTGTTTCTTCAAAATATATCTATTATTTACGTAAATTAATTTTCTAATCAATTTCCAAGTGGTTTTTGAAAAATTACTCAACAATTTTTTATTTTACTGCAGTCTGATGTAGTTATTTTTGAAATCTATTTTACTAACAAATAAAGATTTTTTTTTGAATACGATGATTTTATTTTGCGTTTATTATTATTTGTACAATCTCAGAAATTTCTGTAAAGGTTTTTCGGGGTCACTCTTCGATATGAAATCATGTTACCTTTTTTCAGCGAACATTGGCGTAAAGAGAACAACGTACAACAAAATTTATCCTCTCTAAAGGACGAGCTATCCAAAGCTGACCAAAAACTGCGCTCAATGGTCGGCAAACCCATCCTAAACGGACGCGACAGTGTCCGCAAAGTACTGGACACTTTCATAGCTAGAGGTGGCAGAGAAGCGGACGTCGCAAAACACTATCACGGACCGGTCATCGAGAATTTCGAATGCGAAAAAAGCATCTATACAGCCGTCGAAGTAACGGCCGGTAACAGATTGTTCCATCACGTGGTCGACACGGACATGATCGGTACGCAGCTCTTGAAAGAGATGAACAGACAATCGCTGCCCGGCGAAGTTAATTTTATGCCTTTGAATCGATTGAATGTTAGAGATCAGGATTATCCGAATGATTCGGTAAGTAAAAAAATCGTGTAATCATTTTTCGGTTAGTAATCTGTAGATTTTTCCCCTTCAAAACAGTCAGGAAACAACTTATTGCTTGCTTCACTTCACAACTTTCCCGGCTAGCATGTGTCACTTCCTTATCAGTAAATGTCACTTAATATATGCTTTGGAAGTGTTTTTGTGTTTCTCCCAAATTTTTTCCTGAATCGTGTTTTAAAGGGTAGCATTTTCTGCATCTACTCGTCATATTATCTAACTGTCAGATTCAATCAACTTGTTATATTACCTAGCAACGGTCTCACAGGTATCTTTATTTTTTTTTAAATTATGATTATATTAAAATAGAAAATGTGATTGAATTGGTATACATACCTCGGGGAAACTTATTCTAACCTCTACCTTGATTTGCTCTTCTTGCTCTGTATGTAATTATACTCTTACCCAGTTTCATTTCGATACATTGAAAAATCCTTTTTTTTTTTTTTCAGGATGCAATACCGATGGTATCCAAATTGCATTACGATCAAAAATATGACAAAGCCATGCGGTATTTATTCGGAAAAACCTTAATTTGCCGTAACATGGAAGTGGCTACCAAACTGGCCCGTACAACCGGTCTGGATTGTGTAACACTCGATGGAGATCAGGTATCTTCAAGAGGTAACACATGCATATCTTATCTATTATTAACAATTCCAAGAGTTGTATTATTTTTAGATAGTTATCTTTTTATTTTTAATTGAATATTTAAATGTTAGGTTCTTTGACTGGCGGATACTTCAACGCCTCCAACAGCAGATTGGAAACGCAAAAAACTCGCAGCGAAACCATCGATCAAATACGGCAGTGCGAACAGGAACTGAAAACGCTCAGAAACGAATTGGGAAAAATCGAAACTTCTATAAATGGAATCGTTTCCGAAATGCAGAAAACCGAAACGAAAAACAGCAAGGCCAAAGTGAGAATTTACACTGTTTTCCAGTGGTTTTCTAAATTTAATCCTTTTTCTTCCATCCCAGGGAATCTATGACAAAGTAAAAGGGGAATTACGATTGATGCGCGAAGAACTGTCCAACATCGAACGCTTCCGAGGTCCCAAAGAGCGATCGCTGCTGCAATGCAAATCCAGTTTAGAAGCCATGCAAACGACCAAAGAGGGATTGGAATCCGAGTTGCATCAAGAATTGTTGGCCCAATTATCCGTGCACGATCAATCGCAAGTCGATTCTCTAAACGACGACATCCAAAGGCTGCAGAAAGAGAACAAAGAGGCGTTCAGTACCCGTATGAAATTGGAAGCGGAGAAAAATAAGTTGGAGAATTTATTGACAAACAATTTGATTAGGTTGGTGTAGTTCTTAATACTAGTGTGTTTATTTGTGAGTATATGTACGTAGGCTGGCTTTAAAGTGGTTTAAAACCAACTTAAAGAATCTGAAATACGTTTAAAGTAATTTTTAGCGCGACACGGGACATTTTACCTTAGGTACATTTGAACTACTTATGTAATCAGGGATTAATTAATTGGAGTTACAGCAAATGAAACAGTAACATTACTTATTTGTTGACACGGGACATTTTACCCCAAGTACATTTGAACTACTTACGTAATCGGAGATTAATTTGAACTACTGCAAATAAAACAGTAAAATTACTTGTTTTTGACAGGATAATTAGTTTTAAAGTGATTTAAAACCAAGTAATCTAATATATTTGAAATACATTTTTTAGGAACAGGACTTTACCTCAGGTACATCTGAACTACTTACATAATCGGAGATTAATTTGAACTACTTCAAATAAAACGGTAAAATTATTAGTTTGTTAACGGGCTTTTCAGTTTTAAAGTGGTTCAAAACAAAGTTGAAGTATCTGAAATACGTTTTAAAAATATTTAGGGCTACACGGGACATTTTACCTCAGGTACATTTGAACTACTTACGTAAGCAGAGATTAATTAGGACTACTGCAAATAAAACAGTAAAATTACTTGTTTTTTGACAGTTTAAAACTAATCTAAAATATGTTTGAAAAACGTTTTTAGGGTGATACGGGACTTTACCTTAGATATATCGTGAACTATTTACGTGATCAGGGATTAATTTGAACTACTGCAAAAGAAACAGTAAAATTATTTGTTTGTTCTGAGTTTTAAAGTGCTTTATAACAAATCTAAAGAATCTGAAATATGTTTGAAAAACATTTAGGGCTACACGCGACATTTTAACCCAGGTACATTTGAACTACTTACGTAATCGAGGATTAATTTGAAGTACTGCAAATAAAATAGTAAAATTACTTGTTCTTTGACAGTTGAAAAACGTTTTTTAGAGTGCTACGTGTAGTTCTTAGTATGATTATGTTTTGTATTATTATGTTTTTCTATATTTAGACGTCGAGATGAAGTTTTACACGCTCTTCAAGAAATATCTCTGGAGGATAGGAAACGTCATCTGACCAATAGCAAAACGGAATTAGACGACATCGACAAGAAGATTGATAAAGTTAATAAGGAACTGACTTCTGTTGAAAATAAAGTCAAGGAAATGACTAAGAAAGTAAGTGTTTCATTTCGCAGACAACAAATATTATATTTTAGTTTTAATAAGGGTGAAACAAAAAAATCATTATTTAATATCTCCACCTTTAAAGCATTTATTCAAATTTGAAGACATTAATGTTAAAAAACGTGGAAAACATTACTAATTAAATTTACTCTGTATGCTTTAAATACGGTAAGAAACAAATTCTATTTTTCTAGAGATTCATAAGAAAAAATTTCTTCTAAAGATTGATGTTACATAAAAGACAATGTAAACTTATCTCAATTTAAATGATTTTCTTCAAATGTAAAAGGTAGATTCAAAATTATATCTCTTCAACCATCTGTTTTTGAGTAATATCAGGTAGGAACTAGTCTATAACATGACATTGGGTCAGTAGGTCACATCACTTAGGCCTGTTTTTATCAACCATTTATTTAACGTCCAAGAAAATGAACCATATATTTAATAAACACACGTATTAATTAGTAACTTGTTTGTTTTTAGATGAGAAGCGAGCAAAGCGAATTGGAAAGTTGGAAGAAAAAGGAAAAAGATGCCCAAGATAGGATCGACGAAGACGCCAAGCATTTAGAGAAGTTCGCTACGAAGCAGAACCTTTTGGAGCAAAAAATCGCCGAATCAGTGGAAAAAATCAACCAACTGGGAGCTTTACCTGCCCAAGATATGTATTCCAGCTACGTCAAAATGTCTTCTAGAGCGGTAAGTGAACGATCAACTTTTTTTTCTTCAACTGAAATTCTTTATATTCATCTTTTAGCTATTCAAAGAACTGGAAAAGGCCAATAATAAATTGAAAGCGTTCAGCCACGTCAACAAGAAGGCCCTCGATCAGTTTATGAGCTTTTCCGACCAAAAGGAAAAGCTGCAGAAGCGGAAAGAAGAATTGGACAGGGGGTGAGTTCTTTTCTGTCGAGTTTAAATTATATAAATAAATACATAAACTACTTTCAGAGACGAGAAAATCAAAGAACTGATCTCCATGCTGGAACAGAGAAAAATGGAAGCGATCCAGTTCACTTTCAAGCAGATCTCGAAGTACTTCACGGAGGTGTTCAAGAAATTAGTACCCGCCGGTCGCGCCAAGCTGGTATTGAAGACGAACGACCACGAAGAAGGACACGAAATCGGACCGGACGATAACAATGCCGATAATTTCATCGGGATAGGCATCAAGATCTCGTTCACGGACGCCGACCACGAGATGAAGGAAATGAACCAGTTATCCGGTGGGCAGAAATCTTTGGTGGCCTTGGCTCTCATTTTCGCTATACAAAAATGCGATCCAGCGCCTTTCTACTTGTTCGACGAAATCGATCAGGCCCTGGATCCTTCTTATAGGTTAGTTATATTTTTTTAATACTATGTGTGTTTATTTGTAAGTAGATGTACGTAGGCTGGCTTTAAAGTGGTTTAAAACTAAGTTAAAGAATCTGAAATACGTTTAAAAGTTATTTTTAGGGCGACACGGGACATTTTACTTTAGGTACATTTGAACTACTTATGTAATCAGGGATTAATTAGAGTTACAACAAATGAAACAGTAACATTAATTATTTGTTGACACGGGACATTTTACCCCAAGTACATTTGAACTACTTACGTAATCAGAGATTAATTTGAACTACTGCAAATAAAACAGTAAAATTATTAGTTTGTTAACCGGATTTTCAGTTTTAAAGTGGTTTAAAATAAATCTAAAGAATCTGAAGTACGTTTGAAAAAGTAGTTAGAGGGCGATACGGGACATTTTACCTAAGTACATTTGGACTACTTCAAATTAAATAGTAAAATTACTTGTTTTTTGACAGACTTATCAGTTTTAAAGTGATTTAAACTAATCTAAATAATCTGAAATATGTTTTTTTAGGGTGCCACGAGACTTTACCTTTGATAAATTTGAACTACTTACGTAATCGGGGATTAATTTGCAATTAAATCATTTAAATTTACTTGTTTTGTATTTTTCGGCGGTATGTATTTCATCCTCTTTAGTTTTACACAATTTTTACTTTCGGTACATTTGAACTACTAACGTAATGAATGGGGAATTTAATGGATCTGTATTTGCAAACTTTTAATTACTATTTGGAAGGTTTTATGGGAGATTAATTTGAACTACCGCAATTCAATTATTAAAATTACTTGTTTTTATTTGGGAAATTATGATGAAATTTATATAATTGAAGTACCGTCGTAATTAATACTAATGGAACTTTAAAAAATAATTTGTTATATCCATTTAGTGTATGTTATTTCTAGTGGGTAAATTAAAATGTAACATCCGGTACAATTGAATAACCAGTTATTACATTACATGTTCTTTCAGAGTTTTAGCTATAAATTACATTGTATCACTATCCTGGCAAACTGCTGTTTCTAAATTATATATCATGAGGTTAACGATAATTATTTTTGTAGGAGATCTGTGGCCAATATGATCCACGAATTATCCGGTGAAGCACAGTTCATAACCACCACGTTCAGGCCAGAATTATTGGAGCACGCCAACAAATTCTACGGGGTTAAATTCCGAAACAAAGTCAGTCACGTGGAATGTGTCAGCAGAGAGGTAGCCAGAGATTTCGTCGAGGACGACCAAACACATGCTTAAATATTTTTATTTTCAAGTAGAATTAGGTTAATTTTTAATTATGAACTTTATTTTATAAAAAATACATTTAATTTTTAATAAAACTGCTTTTTTGTTGATGAAAGTTTTATTTCAACATACTTTTTTTTATCACAAATTAAATTTAAATACATTCAAAATATTTCAAAAATACTACAATTTGTTAACCAAAATTTATACAAAATTTTAGCGTATTTATAAGGCACACATATAAATTGTTTAAAAAAATTCGTGTAATTACAATAAAAAAATTGTACATTCAAAGTATAGTTCACAAACTTATTACTTAATTTTGTTAGGCCCCACGTTGGGCGCCAAGTCGATAAAATCGATTTATAAGTTCATAAGAACCATACTCTCAAGTAAATTCACAAGTGTTTACGTACATATAATTGCAGTTACAAGTTTTTACATCGATTTAAATAAATATAATTTAAAAATTCTACACTAACCTGTGATATATCACATAATTTACAATGAGCAGCCAATTTACCTATTAGGGCACTTATATTTAAAACTATAAAAAATTTCCTACATTATAAAACTAACCGATCTTAAATATACATAAAAAAATCTACTGGGATTAATCGATAAATAAAAACAAACTAGAAGGCTGATAAAAATTAGTTTTATAGATAATTTAGCACATTTTAAGATAATACGGCAGAGTATAAAAATTTAGTTTAGCGGAATGTGGGTATAAATATTTAAACCCTATAAAAAATTATAATACATATAATAAATTAAATAAAGATAGGAATTAATTATTAATAGCAAGAAAACACGAAGAAAAGGAGCAGACTAGATTTGGGCGATAGACTTTCTGCTCCAGTCACCCCAAAATAATACATAAAAAAATTATTTATTCTTCTCCCGAGAGAAATAAGTTAATCGATTTGAAAAATGATAATTTGCAAATTGCTTTTTGTATAAATATAAATACAAATAAAATGTATAAAAAAAAAGGTTGAAGAGGCTTTTTTTACTATTGACCCAGAAAATTCACACATTGTTTTACAAAATTTCACAGTAATTGAAAAAACAAAAATACTATGCTATCACACACATCTACACAATGAGAAAACTTTATCACAGCATCTTAAGGTGAGATTAAGACTTCTATTACAGAGATTATTCGTTACAGTTTCAAAATTTCAGTACTCGATATGTCAATTTGAAAAATCCCATTATTTATTGTAAATTCCATTTGAATAGTAAAGAGTACATTATAAAAAAAAATATAGGCTAAGTGGAAGAGATGACTTACCTGTCTTTTGGCAAATATTGAATTATAAAAGCTTATATTATTATTATAAACGAAGAAAAATATTCTAGCGTCTAGCCTTTAAATTTTTATACCTTAATAATACAAATTTATCAAGATCTATTTCAGTTTTTTAGAAAGAATATAGTGAAATGGAAACAAACTCCATAGGGATATAATTTTTTGATCAGGATCCAATGTCCGTGATTAGTTCTAGTGAGTGACTTATTAAAAAAATTAACCTTGGTTTGTTTTCGATTTTATTTCTCATTTCTCTTATTTCAGTTGTGTCTTCTTCCACTGCGAGTTTTTCCATCATTTCTTTTGTTTTATTTTACATAATTAACATATCCTCCTTATCAGGGTTCAAAAGATGTTTCCCTTTCTAGTTCTATTATTCCTCCTTCTTGATTTTCGTTTTTGATTTCTACTAATTCCTTTTAACGTTCGGTACATTTGAACTACTAACGTATTTTGTGTGTGTGTGTGTGTCATCGGTTTCAACCACTCTGGTTATTTCGCCTGTGTTCTGTGTAGGCTTTATTACTGTTTCCCATCGCTACTTTAGGAACAGCACTGTTAATTAGAACCCAACAGTGAATGGTCGAGTGGGGAATCCTACCAAGGCATCAGAATTAATTTTAAATAATTAAATTAAATGAAAAAATCCCGGCCAACGGTGGGATTTGAACCTGGGATCCGCAGGCAGAGACTCTACCACTGAGCCACCCACCCCCTTACTAACGTAATTAATGGTGAATTTAACAGATCTGTATTTGTAAATTTTTAATTACTGTTTGGAAGACTTTAATGCCGAGTTAAATTGAACTACTACAATTAAACCATTTAAAATTACTTGTTTTGTATTTTTGGGCAGCAGGTATTTCATTCTCTTCAGTTTTAAATAATGTTAACGTTCGATACATTTGAACTACTAACGTAATTAATGGTGAATTTAACATAAATATCTGTACTTGCAAACTTTTGATTACTGTTTGGAAGGTTTTTATGCGGGATTTATTTGAACTACCATAGTTAAATCATTTAGAATTACTTATTTTGCAGTTTTGACAGTACGTATTTCAATCTCCCTAGTTTTAAATAACTTTAATTTTTAGTATATTTGATTTACTAACGTAATTAATTATGAATTTAACGGAATTATCTGCACATGCAAAATTTTGATCACAGTTAGGAAGGTTTTTATGCGGGATTAATTTGAACTACTGCCATTAAACTATTTAATTGATATTACTTGTTTTGTATTTTCGGCAGTATTTCATTCTCCTTAGTCTTGAACAATTTTAACGTTCAGTATATTTAAACTACTAACATTATTTATTATTGATGAATTTAACAAATTGTACTTGCATAATCTTTATTACTGTTTGGAAGGTGTTTTCGCGGGTTTAATTTGAACTACTGCAATTAAATCACTTAAAATTACTTGTTTTGTGTTTTTGACAGTATGTATTTAATTCTCACTAGTTTTAAACGATTCTAACTTTCGGTACATTTGAACTACTAACGTAATTAATGGTGAATTTAACGGATCTGTATTTGCAAACTTTTAATTACTGTTTGGAAGGTTTTTATGAGAGATTAATTTGAACTACCGCAATTAAATTATTTAAATTACTTGTTTTGTATTTGGGAAAATATTTATACAATTGAACTACCGTCGTAATTAATGTTAATGGAACTTTAAAAAATCACTTTCATAGCCACTTTCTGGGATATCGTAGGAGCTTTCAACCAAGTCAGTAACGAAGACTCTAGAATAGAAAAACGCCAATGGATCACTTCCAGCTTAAAAAATAGGACCATTTTATCCAGTCTAGGAACTAGGCAACCATACAGGAAACCTTTACACAGGGCTGCCCAAAAAGGGGGATACTATCTCCAATGTTGTGGTCAGTTCTAGTGGACGACCTACTCAAAACATTGTCCAAATAAGGCTATCACTGCCTAGGATATGAAGGCGACCTAGCAATTATCGTAGGAGGCGATTTACAGGCACAGTCTCAAATAGCTCTAAACATAGTGAATAATTGATGCAAAAAGGAGCAATTATTTACTCCTGCTCTGCATAGATCTTCCTTCACTTCTTTCAGCCAACCTTATCTGGGTCTTTCACATTTCCTTCTCCTTTCTGGGTCCCATTGTAACATTGAATGAACCAATGTTTCATTTTCTGCTCTACAAACGTGTCCCAGCCATCTAAGCCAGGATTGTGTTTTTTTATTATGTCTTCTTCTAGCTCTTATTCAATTTCCTCATTTGTTCTAATTCTGTATTCTTCTTCTGTGATTTTAATTGGTCTTAATATTGCTCATTATTTTACCTCTTTTTTTTAACCGACTTTGAAAAAGGGAGTTCTCAATTATTCGATTTTTTTTTTATGTATGTTTAATGTTTAGCGATAATTCTTTGCCTGATTTCTTTCTTTTTTGTTAGTAAGGGAGTACCTTAGGAGTGGTCCTATATAAATTTGGTCAAAATCTAATAATTGGGTCTATGAGAAAATCCTCAAATTCTTCTATGTATGTTTAGCAATAATTCTTTACCACCTTGTCCGATTTCTATGATACGTCACTGTCTTAAAATTCCACCATCAAATTTACAATAATAATGATAATAAAGCTAAGTTTGCCGTGGAAGGGATGGCTATTATTATTATTATTATTTGCTGTGGCGCTCCGGGGCGATTTAAAGATGATTGATAGCGCCAAACAGATGAAAAAAACTCGGAAAACTCTACCTACTATCATCGAAACGCTAACGCACGGCGCTATGCTGTACTCTTTACTACTGAAATAGATTCTATAATAGTCCCATTCTTACCTAAATCAACGTAATAAAAAAAACCACTCCAAAATTAAAATCCATCTTCATAATCGGAAAAATTTAACGAATGCGCGTACGGCGAATTCCAATCCCGTTCGAAAACACCCTGTAATTGGCTGCGGATGGTCGTATGGCTGACGTTTCTATCAAACAGAGGATCGTGCAGAACGAAAGCTATACCAGCCGTATCGGTGAAATAGTCACCCGCCCAATTCGAGGTACCTATGTAGGCGGTATTGTCGGTGACCATGTACTTGTTGTGGTTGACACGTCCGAATGGAATTTTTTGCTGGTCTTTGGAGGCGGGAACAATAAAGCGACGCTGAAACAAAATAAAAACACATGTCAATAAAGTCGTCGATATACTACCGAAACGAGTACCTATCTTTCGGCTACATCTTTTGTACTTCGAAAGTCAAATGGCTTTGGGTCGACGTTTGAAATTCGGGCGAAAAACAAAAGGATCCCGAATCCTTCATGGTTATTCACACCTCAGGGCTCAGGGTAGGGTCGTAGTTACTAACAAAATACAATTAGGCAATTCAACATCCTGTTAGAATGGACAAAAAATGGCGGATGCTTGGCGAAAACAACAAAGCTTTTTAACCTGACTTTTCATTAGTATTTGACTGTTATTGCAAATCATGCAATTAATATTTTACATATTAAAATATTACAAACTTAGACTAATAACATAACTAGAAGTGTTTTTGTCCACCATTTAAAGTCACGTGATTTAGATTGCCTAATTGAAATTAAAGGCATCTTCGAGCATATAGATGGGTGTTTAAATTTCTTAGAATGGCCTTGTGTCATAGCTGCACAAACACACGCATTTAAAAATACGTAACTTCTGCTTATCTGTCAAGTAGACTTATATTCCAGTGCATATTCTGTCTTTCAATTCGTATCGTTTGGCCTTGTCACACTCACTGTTAAAAAATGTGTTCTTTAATATGTCATGCGCTTGACAGTTAGACGAGTCCATTCTACAATTGGAGAGGAGTGGCGCCCTCTTGTTCTTCAATTCACACACACAAGAGTAATAAAAAAATATTCTTGCAAAAAGTTCTGTATCAATTAGGAATTCATAAACAAACATATTTTGCAATATATAGGTGGCATATAGGGAAAATAAAAATATTTTTTTTTGTAGTTATTGAATATTTAAAATCAAGACGAAAGTAATAATACTTGATTACGGATTTCCAAATAATGCAGAATGTTTTATCAAAAATAATGGTTTAAAAAACAAACAAAACTTTTTCTCATGTCTACAAAAATATTTGAAACATATTGTGTATGGATTGCGACGTTAACAACAAAGTGTTCAGATATTGTTGTTAACGACGTGCTCGAAGAGCACGTCGCAAGCAATCTATTATACAGTGTGTCTCAAACTAACATTTACCTTTTCTACTGTACTATGATAACGTAGATTCCTTGAAAATACATAGGTCTCGCGCCAAAACTGAAAAGTTCTATGAAATAATAAAAACTATAGAAAATAAAAATAGAAAAATATTTAAATTCATTTAAAAACTAAAATAACACTCTTTAACGAATGGTGTATTGTTTCAACCAAGAACCGGAAGTACTAAATTTATGTTTTATAAAAGAGAAATTCGATGAATTAAAAAGTAAAATTTGAAAATTGAAAATAAAAAATTAATATTCTTCAAAGTTAACGATATTATTTTATAAAACACAAATATTTTGTACTGTTAAGTTTGCTAAGTACAAAGTGAAAAGTTGCAAAGAGTTTTATGAAATAGGCCCCAGGTGATCTTCATGAAGAAATTCACGAATTTCTTCACGATAAAAATTGTTTTACGTTTGAGAAGAAATATATGAAATTTTTTGTCTTATATGACAGTTTAGTAAGTGTAGCAACACAACAATAAAAATTATAACACTTATTGGGAGTGTTGAAATAAACATGATTTCTTCAGCTAACTGTATGCTTTATATTTTGTTTTACATAACAACTTTACACAGCTAGTATAAGTTCTTAAAATTTGTAATGACTGCAGGTTTGAAACATTTAATTTGTTTTAAAATAAATCCGAAGTACTCGTGAATGAATAAAAGATGTTGTTCGGTTGTTGGTCGGAGAGTGTC